TACTGGTGGAGCAGTTAACAGATGACACCGGCCACTGCACGGAGAGCCGGGAGGAGGGCTGCTGACTGCTCCGGAGAGTGGAGGAGTCCTTTGAGCTGAGCCCTGAAGGATGCGGCAGGTAAAGGGAGAAAAGTTGACGTAGGCTCTGGGCCCCATGGCCTCAGGCACCTTGGAAGACCTGTAGTTTCATATTTATGTTTTCTATTACACTCGGTGCTAAAAGGGGTGGTTTTTCAGAAGGAGAGGTGGCCCCTGTGGTAGTGGGTGGGATGGAGCTTCCTCATCTTCCACCTACACGTCCTGCATCCCCCAGGCTCACCTAAAGCCCAGGCCACCTCACAGAAGTTGGTGTCATACAGGAAGGGCCCTTGTGCAGAATGAAAATTGGTGCCTCCTCTGAGCAGATGAATTACAGCAAGGTGCCCTTCCTCACCCCATCTCAGACCCCACTCCTGCTTGGCAAGGGGGAATTTTTTTTTTTTTCATTTATCTTCAGATAGAGCAGGAGGGAGAAAAAGAGAGAAACATTGATATGAGAGAGACACATTGATTGATTGCCACCCTCACGACCCCAACCGGGGCCAGGGACAAACTGCAACCGAGGTACGTGCCCTTAGCGGGAACCGAACCCGGGACTCGCTGGTCCACAAGCCAACACTCCAGCTGCTGAGCCAAACTGGCCAGGGCACAAGGGGACTTTCTTATATCAAAATCTGTTGTGTGTCTGTGGGTGTGGGTGTGCACATACCTGTACTGGGCTCTGAATGCTGCTCAGCTTTTGATGGAGGGTTCGCTCCTCCCTAGGCCCTTGGTGGCCCTGTGACAATCTGGCAGTGACTGCCTGATATATTCTAGGCTTGCCTAGTGGGTCACTTCTTTCTCAGACTTAGGATTGTCTGGGAGAAATAAACACACAATTACTAAATCTTTGGGACATTGGCGTAATGATTTTTTTAATTGTAAATGTTTCCCTTTGATTCTTTTAAAGATACAGCTGTAAACAGTGGCATGCTGGAGATGCTTGTACAAGAGCAGACTGACCACATCTCTTCCCAATTCCGTACTCAGTACTCCAGATTGGTACCTTGAAATGAGCTATTTTGCCACAAAAAATCAGCAAATGCTACAAGTGAGGACCCCTCCCAGCCTCCACCCACCCCCCAGGAGCCAGTTGTTAAATATTTTTCCACACACCTTGGGACTGCACCAGCATTGAGGCTTGAATTTTAAGTCTGGCCTCTGAGAAAAAGAAAAAGAAAAAGCTGTGTGGTTTTGGGCAAATGAGTCCCCTGCTTGATGTCACTGTCCCTCCTTGTGAAATGGGGAGAACAGTGATTCCCTTCTGCATACCTCAGAAAATTGTGAGAGCAAGTGAGTCAGTCAGATCCAGGTACCCCAAAGATGTGAGCCCCACGGGGGCAGGGCCAGGTCTGCCCTGCATGTCACAAGTGCTCAGGACTTAGCAGGTGCCGTATCTGAGTGCCGACCGCGTGAATGAATGAACGCGGTGTGTGGTGGTGCTGTGCTTCTCTGTGCGTTTCCTCGTTTGTTCTTTTCCGTTTAAGGTTGTGGACAGGATTGGTAAATTGTAAAGTGTCAGCAAACCTTTATCAGTCCGTGGGTTGATTTGTCTGGGCCTCGGTTCCCCCACTTGTGAAATGAATGGCATGACAACTTGTCATTGCAGCTCTCAACCTGATATGTCTGAGTCTCAGGCTGTGGCCCATCTCCTCACTCACGTAGCCCACACTGGACAGGGCCTCCCTGCTGGACACCTGCCGAGACTGCCCGGACCCCTCATCCCACCCACCCTTGCCAGCTGCTTTCCTTAGAAGCAGCAAGTCCCTAGATCTGCCTGCAATGGAAGGAAGAGAAAAAAGCAAGAGGCGGACTGGGTCTCATTATAAACTGTCCGGCTCCAATTCAGGGGTCCAGATGGAGGGGTGCCTTGGGACTGGAGTGGTCATTCTCCCTGGCAGGGAGGAAGGCCACGGCCGTAGCCCTCTCACCGCCTCTCTCCATGGGAGCCAGTAGGTTGGGTGGGGGAGGGGCTCTGAGCTGAGCACTGTCTGAGGGGCCCTCAGAGGTGGCCCGGAAGACTCGTCAGGCCTATTCACCACCTGAGCATTGGTCTTCCCTCACTCTCCTGTTACCTCATCCTCCAGGGGGTGCACAAGCAAGACAGTAGCCAATCTGGACCAGGAAGACCAGGGTGGGGGCTGGCCCCACAGGAGGGAAAGCATCCTGGACCTCGGGAGCCAACAGGGGAAAAGGAAGAGGCCCCCAGTGGAGGGATGACACTGGAGGCTGGGAGGGTGAAGGTGGGATGTCCAGATTGCTGGCCCAGCCCCCTGGTCAGGCTGCCTCTCGGGGAGTCACTCCATCTGCAGCATCCTCCGGAGTCTCTGAGGAGCTGAGGGGCCCACTCAAGAATCACTGACCCGAAATAAGCTACGGGAGGCGGGGGAGAAACATGCCATCTTTTTTCTCTCAAGTTCTTTGGCCAGAGTAGTTTGAGGGGTTCGGAGAGGCTGGAAGAAAACGCCCTAGAGTCTCAGCCACAAGAAAACCAAACTCACAAAAGGAGCGGGTGGTGAGAAGAAAGGGGCTCACAGACTTTAAGTGGCTCCCCTGGTCCAGGTACTTTGCCTAAGTTGCCTGCTTGAATTCTCAGAACAACCCCGTAAGTATAGAAGAACTAGTTCCGTTTTTGGGTGAGGCTCACTGAGCTTCGTCCCTTGTCCAAGGTCACACAGATGGTGAGGGCAGAGCCTACCCTCCCTTCCTGTGTGATTCCTCTCCTGATGCAGGACGTCTCCTCCACGTTCTTGTCGGTGCCCACACCTTCCTTCCCCTTCCACTCGGCCCGGAGCAGACCCTGGCCCGTGGGGGCAGACCCTCCTGGTGCCATGTGGGTGGGAAGGCCAGCAGTTCTGGCCCAGGCTCTGAGGTGGGGCTGCAGGTTCCCGTCCAGGTCCCGGGAGCTGTGCCGGCTCCGATGGCAGAGCAGTCTCCTTTCCACTGCGTGGAATGTGTCTCCAGGACGTTCTGCGCTCTCGCGTGTTTCAGGGGCTGAGGTGTCCACCGTTACTCTGCAGTGGGGCGATGGGGTGGGGTGGGGAGAGCTCGCTTGGGCGCCAGACCACCTGGGGTTCAATGCTGCGTTAAGGAGGAGAGAACAATTTCAAGATCGGAAAATAAATAAGTGAAAGAAACAAAGATGAGATATTCTTTATATGTATTTTTATATATTGTTCATTTTTATTGAATTTATTTGGTGACAATCATCAATAAAATTATACAGGTCTCAGATGTACAATTCTATAATACATCATCTGTATATTGTAGTGTGTGTTCACCACCCCAAGATGAGATACTCTTTTAAACAGCAGATGCCCCCACCCCAGATTTTTCATACGGGGGGAGAGCAGGGGATGGGGCACCCAGCTTTGCACAGGATGCCCTCTCTTCCATGGGTGCCCCATGTGAGCTCTACTACCAACTCGGGAAACGTCTCTCCAAACCACCTTCAGCTGAATGAGAAATTATATCCTTGCCTACTCTGGGCTTCTAGAGACAAAAACCCAACTCGGACGAGGCTATGTGAGGGAAAGAGTACACTGGGGATACTGAAGTAGCCCACAGAGCCAAAGGAGAGCTGACAACAGGTAAGACAGGGACCAGGGCAGGACCTGGGCCTCCAGAGCCTGGAATGTCACCAGTACTTCCTGCTTCTCTCCACAAGATGGTTTCACTTTCCGGCCTTCCCCATGAGCCTGGAATTGTGGCGGTTCATGGATTCTAAGCTCACCTCTTAGCTTCATTACTAGAAAGCAAAGGGCTTTTTGGTTACAGTCAAAAAGTCCCAGGAAGATCTCTGATTGGTCCAGCTTTCCTCAGATACTCAGCCCTGGGCCAATCACTGTGTGGCCAGGGAGGTTTGGGTCATGGAGGAAGATGGCAGCTTCTGCAGACCGTGTAGGAAGGAGCAGGGGGCAGTCCCCCCAAAGGGAACAGAGGAAGCACTCCAGAAGAAGGGGTGCTGGGCTGACCAAACCCTAAATGGCCCTTTTCCCTCATAGGGAACTCATTCAGAAAGCTCAGTGGCTGGCTACCTGCCTTTCAGGGCCAGAGGAAACCAACCTCAAGTCATGGTTCTTGGGTGAGAATAGGGGTGTGATGAGAGATATCAGAGCATCTCAGATTGTCATTTTAGGAAGTCTTTTAATCTACAATTCCAGTTTTTTCCTCCAAAGGGTGTTATAGCAGGTGTTTTTGTCTTTCCACTTCACAAACAAGAAACTGAGGCCCTAAGGTGGTCGGTCCAGGGAGTCGGGAACAGAACTCAAATCAGAACTTTGGTTTCCTGACTGAGGTCCTGTAGGAAGTTTCTGCAGGAACTGAGGCAGGACGTAAGCCTGGCCCCAGGTCCTGAACCTCATCTGGCCTCCATCCAGGAGTGACGAGGTTCTCCACGGTCAGCCTGTCCACCCACAGACATGTGCAGAGTGCTCACTGTGGGTCAGGTTCAGGGCCAGATGTTCTCAGTCTAATGCCCCCCCATCCTCCAAATAAGCCCTGATGGCCACACAAGGTGGTGAGTGCAGTGGGAGGAGGGCACCTGGCCTGAGTGGGGAGAGGAGGGAGTGGCCCTTGAGCTGGATGTAGCAGGGTGAGTTGGCAGAGAGAGGGGGGTGGAAACGCATTCTGGGTCAAGGGAGCAGAAGCTGTGAAGGCACAGAGGCACCCAGGAGCGTGGGCTCTCCTATGTCCTGACCCCAGGAGCAGCCAGGCCTCTGCACTGAGTAGTTAAACCTGCGTATGTCACACAACCCTCTCAAGGTCAACTTCTGTCCTGTCTCCCCGCGGCACCGGCCTCATTATCCCAGGTCGATGGGTTTACTTCTTGCCCTCACGTCCACTCACTACAATCGCTTGCCTACCATCGGGGTCCTGGTGCAGGCCTCAGACCCCTGATGACAGGCTCTGCTCTGTTTCAGAATCTCGGCGAAGGGCCATCTTCGAGTACCACCGTGTGGAGCTGGACCCCAGCAAGGTCATCAGCACGTCGGCCGTGGAGTTCACCCCGCTGCCAAGTAAGTGGGGGTGGTTCCCACTGACGGGAAGGCAGCCTTCTAGATCACTAGTGTCTTAGAAAGAACTTTGGAGTCCAACAGGCTGAGCGCCATTCCCAGGCTCACCACTGAGTCCTGTGCGGCTACGGCCATGTGACATCTCTGGGCCTCCATGTCTCACTTGTGACACGGGCCTAACCCCACCTGCCACCCAGAGCCGTGGTCCAGGTTAGGACCACAGTAGGGAGAGTGGAGGATGTAGCTGGCAGCTGTGACACTAAGGGGCACTCCTCAGGCCTGGGGAGTGATCTGTGCTTGACAGGTGACAGCTTCTATTACTAACACGTGATTGAAACGCAGGAAAGATGTACCTCTGAGAACTCAGACTGGGCCCCAGGAAAAGCACTCCAGGCACTGAACTGATCGTAGTTCATCATTGTGTTCCCGAGGGCAGGGGTGGTGCTGGGGTCCACAGGCAGAGGCCATGAAAGGATTCAGCCAGCAGCTGTCCAAGAACCATGGGGCCCTCTCCTCCCATGTACCCCACTCACCTCCAGCTGAAAGCCCATCATGGCCAAGGCCCCTGCTGCTGCTGCTGCTGCTGCTGCTGCTGGACCCGCAGGACCGGGGCTGGGTGCTCTTCAGCTGGGTGCTCTTCAGGGTCCGGTCAGAGCAGCTGCAGAGGCTGAGGGGAAGGAGGACCACGGTCCCATCCTTGAATTATTTATTTATTTTTATTTTTTATCCTCACCCAAGGACATTTTCTCATTTTTTTGTTCAGGTAGAGTGGGAGGGAGAGAGAGGAACAGAGAGAGAGAGAGAGAGAAACATCGATGTGAAAGGAACACATCGAGTGGCTGCCACCGCACGACCGACCAGGTCCGGGGACAAACTGCAACTGAGGTACGCGCCCCCAGCGGGAACCGAACCCGGGTCTCTCAGGACCGCAGGTTGACGCTCTAACCGCTGAGCCAAACCGGCCAGGGCCCATCCTTGAATTTTTTAAAAGGGTTTTAGTTTCATCCTCTGTCTCACAGTACCTTCCAGCTTCTGAAGCCACGACCTTTTCCCTGCCCTCTGGGGCGTTTCTTGCCAGTTTCCCCTGATCCCCATCTTTCCTTCTTCCCTGGAGGTTCTGGGAGCAGAGGGTGGAGCAAGAAGAGGAGGAAGAGGGTCCTCTGATGCTTGGCCACCTGTTTCAGTCTGGGCTCAGCAGGTGTCCTCTGGAAAAGAAGGACTCGGACACCATGGGGTCACAGGGCTAGGACACCTGGCAGGTCTCAGCCCCCCCACCTCCCCAGCCGCCCTTCCTCTAGGCTAGAGAGGCCTGGGGCTTGAGAACCGGTGCTTTTTCAAGAACTGGTGAGAGCAAATCACAGACCCTAGGTCTTGAATAAAACTTCATGTAGGAGCAAGGACATCCAAGGACAGGGCTTACTGCCCGGGCGGAAGAAGTAAACTGTCTGGGAATGAGTTTCTGGGACACTGTACATGTAAGCCACTTCCCACCCTTCCGGTGAACTTTGTGAGCATTTACTAGCATGCAGGACATCTGAAATGCACATGAGAAATAAAGGTCAGTGGGTCTTATGAACATCCCACGGGGCTCCCAGGGTTTATTTGCAGTTTAACTAAGGCCATTAAGGAGCCTCCAGAGTCGCTGGGAATGACCAGGCCATGGGCTCCCATGTGAGTGCAGCTGGTGAGGGAGGGGACAGTGCTACCAAGGCTGTGATTGGAGCCCCTGGGAGGCCAACTAGCTTTGTCCTCAGAAAACTCTGCAGCCCCCAGCCCAGGCTCTCCCTTATGTCGGGTGGGGGAGTACTTAACCAAGAATCTTCCAGAGGTGCGGATGGGCCATCTCTCAGCCATCGCACTCAGTGGCTGGTCCCCTCTTCTAGAACAATTCGGCAAACATAGAAACTGCCTCCCGCGTGCTGGGCACTGTTCTAGGCCCTCTGGATACACAAGGGAACCAAACTGCCAGAACCCTCATTCTCAGGCCAGGCCAGTGTCTGCTTACTTCCTGCCTGTGGCTTTCCATCCACCCTTGCAGGCCTGCAAAGACCTTGCAGACAAAAGGACACAGTGCTACCTCCAGTCAGTCCCTCCCACAAAGTGACTAAAGATGACCACACAGTGCCCGGGACAGCTTTTCTTCCACTCACCAAGGGCTGGTTCCCAGCTTCCCTCTTTTTGGGGTCCATGGAATGCAAATTGGTTCCCTAATGAATGGAGTGTGGGAGAGTACCATGAACTCTCATACAGTGGAGAAATACGTGTGAAGTCTATCAAGTGGTCATCTCTCTGTAGTTGGTTGCCACCTCTTGCTGCTATCAACATGCTGTTCAGCTGCTCATCAGATGAGCCCTTCTATTGCAGCTTTTCTGGGCGAGAGCCTGTCTCTCCTTGTAGTAAAATGCATGGGCTTTGTGGCAGCTGCTTGCCACTCTGGTTCACTTAAGTGGGTGGCATTGAACTGCAAGTGAGCAACTCATAAAAGTCAGCCCCCCACAGCTTTTCTTCCTCTGGCCCTCTCTGCTCCTCTGCCTGGCTGGTGCCACAAGGGGTCCATGTACCCTCCAGCAACTGCTTCCACTAACTTCTCTGCTCTCTGACTCTGTCTGGCCCTGGGGGTCCTGCCTCTCCACTCTGCCCAGCCTGTTAGTGTTCTGACTGCTGTTGAGAATACACCTGGGACATGCTCCTTCCGGGTCTCTGCACAGGGCCCTTCTGCTTGGACTTCTCCCCCGGGAGAGCTGCTGGATCGCTTCCTCCCTTCTCTCTGTCCCTGCCCGAGCATCCTCTCCTCAGGCCTTGGCCAGCCTCCCTGAATACAGCACATCCCCCACTGTCATTTCACCTCCCTGTTCAGCTCTGTTTTTTCACAGCCTTCTCACCACCGGAAACCCTAATGTAGATTTATTTGTCTGCATAGGCGTTGGCTGTTTCCTCCACTGGTCTGCAGGCTCCATGTGGGCAGTGTTTCTGTCTTTTCCTGTTCACCGCTGTAATCTCCAGCACCTGGGACAGTGTCTGGCCCATGTCAGGCGCTCATTACATATTTATTGAAAGGATGAATGGATGGATCAGTGAGTGAATGAATACCTGATAGGGATATTGAGAGGGATGAATAAGACCACAGTCAATAACAACAAGTAGCATTCACTGTGCTCACCATGTGGCTGGCGCTATTCTAAACCCTCTCTAGGTATTGTCTCATGTCATCCTCACCGCAGATCTGCCAAGCAACTGGCATCTTGCTCCCTCTTGTATAAATGAGGTTCTGAGGCACTAGAGGTTCAGTAACTTCCCAAGTAAGATTTAGACCTGGATGAGCAGAGATGCCAGCACCCCCCTGGGGTAGCCCACTCTCAGAGGAGAGGGCGAAGAAGGAATAAAATTACGTATGTCTGGTTTACCCTCACAAACTGGCACTCAGACTTCCCTGGGAGGAGGCGGAGAGAGCCCCATCCCTTCACTTGGACCGAATGTCGGGGGTGGGGAATGAGTGCTCCCAGCCAGCTCTGGATGGAGGTCAAACCAGAACATCTTACAAAATCGTTTTCAGTGGTTATAGACATAAAACTGTGTTATAAACATTAAATGTGCTAAGAGATTAGATCTTACTGTTCCTACCACATGAAGAAACGATAATTATGTGTTAGCTGCAATGCCAATCATATCACAATATAAATGTATCAAGTTGATATGGTGTACATATTAAACTCAATCTGTGTCAAATATATCTCCATTTTTAAAAATCTTTCAACCCTGTAATTGTAGGCAATGGCCCAGAGTATAACTTCCCAGACTGGATGAGATCTCTTTGGACATGTTTATAGCACCTTGTAATTCTCCTTCATGAGCCTCATCAAAATACTAATTATGTGGTTATTTTTGTTTGATTATCTGTTTAGTGTTTGTCTCCCCATATGACTGCAAGGTCCTAGAAGTCAGGGACCAGGTTTTACTGCTGATTCCCCCACATGAAGTCAGGACCTGACCCCTAGGAGACAGGAAGAAGAAAGGAAGGGAGGGAGAAAAAAGGAAGGGAGAGATGGAGGAATCAGGGCTGAACTCGTGTGAGGGAGGTGTTAATGACCCCCAGGGTCCCTGCTAGTCAGAGAGGGCACAGTCCAGTGAGACCCAGCGTTGAGGAAAGTTGCACTGTTTGGAGGCCTGTGGAGGATCCGGTGCTGAGGGGTCCCTGCCTTCTCTCTTGCAGCTTGCCTGCAGCATCGGAGCTGTGATGCCTGCATGTCCTCGGACCTGACCTTCAACTGCAGCTGGTGCCATGTCCTCCAGAGGTTTGTGCCCAGACTGACCCTCTGGTTCCTGCAGGCAGACTGTGGAGGAGGGGCAGAGGGTCGCACAGCCCCGCTCCTTGCCTCAGGCCTCATTGCCAAGATGAAGGTATCTTTGGCCAGTTCACTCTGACCCTTAGGACAAGAAGGTCACAGAGTGAGCTCCATGAGGCTCGTGACCGATCCAGGTGCCTGTGTGGCAGGGTCCCTATGATGACATTAGGCTCTTAGAGATTCCAGCTACTGCAGCTCCCTCCTCACCTGGTTTATCCTAGGGCAGCGCTCCTCAGAGAGGTCCACAGTTGCAAGCATTCCAGCATCAGCTAAGGCTCACGGATTCCTGGGACGCCCCCTGGGCCCCAGGATCTCGGGGAGAGAAGCCCAGGAACCTGGATTTCAATACAGTGCCTCATCTGCACACAAGCATTAGACCTGCCAGCTCAGGGGCCCAAAGACCAACTGCTGTTGGCTGGGAGCCCCAGGACCCCAAAACACCATCTCAGGATCTTCCTCAGGCTGCAACAGGGTTTTCTGAAAACGAGGGGCATGCAAATGTCAGGCATCTGTGGAAAGTTGGGGCTAACAAAGCTGTGTTTGCTTGGTTTTAGAAATAGGGGAAATTCTGGATGAGATGCAGGTTCAGGGATAAAGTTCTTAAATCCAGCTCATCTTCCAGTCCGTGTTCTGAACTCATTTCCTCACAGAGTACACTCAGAAGTTGAGCCCTTCTCCTGTTCAAGATAAGTAAATGGCAGAAGGAAGAAAAGAATTTCTTTGGGTGCCAGGTCTCTCATAAATGGGATGCCCTGTGAACTCTGAGAGCCTTTAAGGCAATCTTGAAAATTGTAAGTTACGAAGTCCCTGAGTTCCGTGCGGCTGTCATGTGTCTGCCAGTGTTTCCTTTGCTCCTTTCCAATATCCTGGTGTAGAAATAGAAGCCATCGCCTTTGCAGGCGACCCGCCCAGCACGCAGGACACAGCTTCGGTCTGGGTGGAGAGAGAGACCCTCATCAGGCCTCCTAGGTGCTCCTCCCACAACTTACTCACTCAGTACCTCATTTATACAAGAGGGTTTGCTTTCCCTGTAAAATGGGCTGGGGTTATATGATTCAGAGAAACATGGGTGAGGAACTCGCCGTTATTTTATTTTATTCTTTATTTATTCTATTTTATTTTTTTAGAGAGAGAGGGAAGGAGAGGGAGAGAGAGACAGAAACATCGATGAGAGAGAACATCGATTGGCCACCTCCTGCATGCCCCCCACTGGGGGCTCGGCCCACAACCTGGGCATGTGTCCTGACCGGGAATGGAACTGGCAACCACTTGGTGCAAGGGTCAGTGCTCAACCACTCAGCCACACCAGCCGGGCCACGGTGTTATTTTGTTTTCACAAATACCAAACAACATTTTTGCAAAGTGTTCAGGGCCCTTCACACGGAAGGCATAGAGTCTCAGAGAGAAGACAATAGGTGGGACCCCAAGTTGGTGTTTTAGGAGTGGAGCCTTGCAGCGTTGTCCATCTTCTGCACTTTCAAGTTTGAGAGCCACCATCTCAGCATGGGGAGATAATCCAGATGGACTCAGATGAGCCCTGGAACTCTGGGGCCGGCTGCCACTGCATAACTCAGCATCTGACGACAGCTGAGCCATGAGAATTGCAAAATGGGTCAGATGGAAGCGCACCCTCGCATTGACACGGCCCATTTCATGCACACGCCCAGTCCTAGGTCTTCAGTCTCTGGTGCCAGGGATTGTGACAGTTTAATGGGGGCTGGTCAGGTTGGGGGAGGGCAGGGCCGCAGGTGTGGACACTGCTCTTGCCATGGTTATGTCAGCTACAGGACAGAGGCGCTTCATCAGTGTGCAAGGCTGACATGGTTCTGGAAACCGCCGGTCCTCAGATGCCCCTGGGCCTGGGCTCACCCCAGTGTGTGCCCCTCCTTGCCAGCTCTCTGGAGCCTCAGCTCCAACTAAGAGCTGACTCCAGCCCCTATAATGTCAGAGGGCAGGGCTGGTACACTAGGGCCGGCCACCACGGCCTCTCCCACCAACAGCTGCTTGCAATCACCGCGTGGGCTCTTGGCTAACCCTTTCCGTCCTCCCACTCTCCCCTCTGCAGCCTCCCAGCTCCCGCTCCCTGCCCTGGGGCTGGATCTGATTTAGACCATTTCACTTACCATGGCAGGTATTTTCCTGTCATCCCACATTGCCCCCCAGTGGCCCACTCTGGAGTCTAAGGGTGACCTTAACTCCAGGATTTGGCTCAGGAAATGAGGGGCATGGTCCTTGCCTTCCTGTGCCGTTGTGAGGGTCCCATGAGATGGTGTAGGAGCAGCACGTGGCTGGGCAGCGCCTGGCACTCAGTAAATGACCATTGCTCATGCCCTTCTCTGAATGGGCGTTGGCTGGCTCAGGGCTTAGAACCCGATGCTCTTAGACCCATATCAAAGGCTCAGTCCCTGAAAGAATCATTGTGGCCTAAAAGAAACTTGAGTTCCCATCCCCCAGTGGTGCCCCTACTCTCCCATCCCCCACACACTGGGCACAGAGGACCTGAAAGTGAGCAGTGTGGAGGCTCAGTTCAGTGTCTCGGCTGCGGGAGGAGCAGCTCGGAGACATCAGAAGAAAGGCTTCTGGCGCCCTCAGCCTCAGCCTCAGCCCCACCGGGTCTCCGGCAGATGGGCAGGCAGTTGCTGGTGCCGAAAGTTAACTGGCCACGGATTCTTTCTTAGCATGGGTGGCGCATGATATTTTTCCATGCAGATGTCCCTGCACTTGAGTAGGGCACCAAGGAGTGAGGATCGGAAATTTGAGCATGATGCCATGGAGAACGTTCTCTGGTTCATCCTCGTGCCCCCGCCCCTTCCCTAGCGAAGTGCTTGGTGTCTTCCAGCCCAGTTGAGCTGCACAATGTCCTCTGGAACCTGGTCAGCCAGTTTTTAATCTCTCCCAGCCTGTGGCAGGACCCTCATTTCTGCCTTTGAATGATCACACAGGGCGTGTTGGCTAAACCTGCTGATGTCCCCCTTTACCCAGCCTCTCCTTGCGAAGTTCAGGCCCTTCCGCAAAAAAGAGGGATCTTGGCGAATGAACGAGATTTTCCCAGATGAGAACACGTGTGTGAATTCCCTGGATTTTTTAGCAATTTCATGGCAGCCCTGAGTCAAGGGGGCCTGAAAGGTCATTAGAGGTCATGCAGTCTATCTAGCCCCCAACATACATATTTAGGCAGGTGAGGCCTTGATCCCTGGGAGCTAGGTCAGAAAGAAGGGGATTTCACAGACCCCTTCCCCTCCTTCTGGAAAAGGAATAGAGGGGCCAGGAGGGTCTGATTCCTGATCCCACAGCCACCTGGTGCTGAGGGCACCTGCCCAGTGCTCTTGGGAACTTGACTGCCCGAGCCCTGGAGGCTAGGCCCCTCCTCACTGTCGAAGGAGACTGTTGCTGCATGGGGCAAAGTGGAGGGGAGCTCTGTCAATCCCCCCACACCTCTGACCTTTGGTTCCCCCTGCAGATGCTCCAGTGGCTTTGACCGCTACCGCCAGGAGTGGCTGGCCTACGGCTGTGCCCAGGAGGTGAGAGGCTTAAGTGAGCCAGGTTGTGGGGCACAGCAGGGCTGTCAGCAGGCCCCTTGCCTGGGAGCTCTTCTCAAGGTGTCTTTGGCTCTTGGTAAAACTGTCCCTTCCACCTGGGACTCTGATCCTCTGGGAGGCTGTGCCCTGGTGACATTCAAGAAGCAACTGCGGCTCTAGCCTTCAAGCTTCTGAGGGGTGCAGTCATTCTGGGAGTGAGGAGGGTCGTTCCAGGCTCCTCCCATCTAGAATCCCATCCAGGTTCCTTCTCACTACTGAATTTCCCAGAATGCTCCACACTTTGATCCTGGGTGGGGAGTGTCCTGTTGTCACACCTTACACTAACACCTGTGTCGTCCACGGGTTCTTTCCCTTCCCTGGCTTTCTCCATCTCCTCGTGCACGCACACCTCACTGCATGCTGCCCGGCATCGCTCTGATTCCGTCCCAGTGTGCCCCAGGAGCTGGGGCCAGTGTCCCGCTGACCAGAGTGGGAAACTGAGGCTCAGAGAAGTTTAGTGCCTTGGCCTGCATCTCACAGGTCAGGTGAGAGGGCGAAGGTGCTAGGACCAGCATTTAAAAGTAAACCCCCAGACCCCACTGCCGGGCACTCATCCCCGTCTGTGGTGTTAGGAAGGCTGGGTGAGCTGTCTCTTTCTGGCCTTAATAGAACCTTGTCCAGCCGCCCAGTTCTGACGCTGGCCATTGGTAAATGTACAGATTTGCTCTACTTATTTAAAGTTGGCATCTCAGCTCCTTCCTTGAGGAAGGATTCGAAACAGTGGATAGATAAATTGCCCTGTGAGGTAGATGCTTTCAGGATAAAGTGGAAGGCTTAAAGGCACTCAGGGCACAGCTTTGGTTAGAGTGCCATGCTTGGACCATGTGCTGGAATCTTAGATTTTCTGGCCGCTGAGGGATGCAAGTGCCCCCGCCGTCCTCGTGTGTGGTATGCCCACTGGCGAGGCCTCTGTACAGGGCAGCCCTGGGTCTCTCTTACAGGCGGAGGGCAGGACGTGTGAGGACTTCCAGGATGAGGACCACTACTCATCTTCCCCGGACAGCTCCTTCAGCCCCTCTGATGGAGACCACAGCACCACCTCCTCCTCCCTCTTCTTGGACAGCCTCACCACAGAAGGTAATGTCGGGGGAGGAGAGGAGAGAAGCGGTGGGGATGGGCCATTGCCCTGGGGTAGCGCCCTCTTGACAGGAATTGTCTCAGGGAACAAGAATTGCCCTGTCCTTTCACAGGTGAGAGACCCGCGGCTCCCAGAGCTGGGGTCACGTGCTGGTGAGAAGCAGGACCAAGTTTAGAATGAGTGGACCCACGCCCAGGCTCTGATGGCTCTGTTAGCCCAGGTCAGGGCAGTGGGATGAAAGTCACTGTGGTGAGGGGGAAAACGAATGTCCAGCCCAGGGCCAGGTATTTTACATAATGCCTCAGTTCATCTTACTAGCAATCCTAGCAGAACCTGTGAGGTCTTATCATCCCTGTAGAAAGAATAGACTCCGTGTAAACAATCAGATGTGGTACAAAGACTGCCTCATTTTTCTATGACTTCTCTTCTCTCAACCCTCATTCAGCTGGAGTGCAGAGGATCCCACCTCAGTCCTGGGCTGGCTCCCTGCCCTGTGACTTTGTATGGCACAGAGTCAGAGCAGGGCAGCGATGTCCATCTGTTGCTGCTGATCCACCCTGACTCTTCAGGCCTGGCTGTCCCCAGGGGCTTCTCTGCCAGCTCGAGGCCTGGGGTGGGGAGGGTCTTGTTGGAGGTCCATCCCCCCAAGCCTGTGCAGGCCCCCCTGGGACTCTGGCTAGGTCTGAGAAATTTCTCTCTCTATCCATTTTCAATACCTTGAATCTAGGTTTTAGCTTCTTGCCTTTAGGCTAAGACTAGAGACCTGTGAGCTCTTACCATCTCCCCTGAGCCAGATACCTGCTGGAAAGGGGAAAATGGAAAGGGCGAAAGGAGATAAGAAATAAGTTAATATTTTAAAACATCATTCAGTCACGGTCCCATTTTTTAGATACAGAAATTGGCTCATAGGGGCAAGGAAAGTTACTCAGGGTTACATGAGGGATAAGTGGTAGAGCCCCTGCCTCTCTAAATGTAGCCTAGAGAACTGGAAACCTAGAGCAGCAGCCCATGGATCTGAAAGTGAACAAATGACAGAAAGAACTAACACTGGGGGGGGGGGGGGGGGGGGCTGACCGTGTGCCAAGTAGGGTTCTAACTCTGTGCACACATGAACACTCACTTAGTCCTCCTAACAATCCTATAGGACGATGCTCTTTTATCCCCATTTGGTAGAGGAGGCACTAAGGCTCAGAGAAGTTGATGACTTGCCCAAGGTCACACAGCCCCGAAGAGGTGGAGTCAGGTCTCATCTGGCTCCAAAAGCAGCTATCTTGCCCCTAGACCCCCCCTGCTGTTCTCAGTGCTGAAAGAAATAGAAAAGGGTCTTTGTGGGTTGGGGAACCAGGGAGATTACACAGGGTGAACAAGCAAGGCAGCCGCCATTACTCTGAAGTGGTCGGGAGCTGGTTAAGGCCCCCGGGCAGTGGGAGCAGAGCTCCTGCTGGTTCTGTGGGGGACTAAATAAGTTGAATGAAAAAGGAGCAGGAGGAGACCTTGCCCTCAGGGAGTTAACAGTCAAGACCAGGTGACCTTCTAATTAAGGGAAATTCCAGTTCAAAGGAAGAACCTCCTGGCCAGTCACTTCTGAGTTAACCCTGTATGTTTATTGAGAGCGTCCTCAGAGCCCAGTGCTAGGGGTTACCGAACCTTTGGGTGAGCCACAGAATGTCAGAGGCCAGAAGGTGGCTGTGTTGGGTGTGGAGAGCCCAGCACAAGACATCTGGGGACCGGGTTCTAGTCCGACTTGAATTATTCAGCTCCTGACAGTCTTGCTCCCGGGTTGCTGCCATGGTGGGCTGTTCCCATGCAGAGGCAGCATGTTCTGTTGGCCAGTTTTATTATGTGTGTCTCTCCTGCCAGCCAGGAATGTCTCACTTTGGTGTGCTGTGTAACAGTTCCCAAAAGGAAGCATTAATTAGAGTGAGGACAATTGTGGCTTTATGTCATTCCATTCCTGGAGGAGGTGGCAAAGAGGATCAAGTTACATCTATAAGAAAACACATTTTGATGATGACTTTCCCCACACCCAATTCTCAGGGAATCTTGGCAGGACAGGTTTCAGTCCCCCGCCTGCCCATGTGGTTACAACTGGCACGTGGAGTCTTGTGGAGGCAGGTGAGGGGCCAGGAGGGTCTGATTCCTGATCCCACAGCCACCTGGTGCTGAGGGCACCTGCCCAGTCTCAGGGTACAGGGAGATGCTGTAAGTGAAGAGGATACAGCATTCCAGCCAGAGGGACCCACCTGTGCAGGGCTGAGTCAGACAGCGAGGAACTTAGTGGGCTCAGGCTGCTGGAAGGTGTGCGGACCCCTTCTGGCACCAGCCAAACAAACACAGAAGGCCAGGGAAGCAGGAGGTACAGGGGCTGGATTTTAAGAGTTGCTCACTTGCCACCCACGTAAGTGAACCAGAATGACCTCTGCGTGGCAAGCAGCTGCCACAAAGCCCATGCATTTTACTACAAGGAGAGACAGGCCCTCGCCCAGAAAAGCTGCAGTAGAAGGGCTCATCTGATGAGCAGCTGAACAGCATGTTGATAGCAGCAAGAGGTGGCAACCAACTACGGAAAGATGACCACTCATTCGATAAACACCACACGTATTTCTCCACTGTGTGAGATTTCATGGTACTCTCCCACGCTCCATTCATCAGGGAACCAATTTGCATTCCATGGACCCCCAAAAAGAGGGAAGCTGGGAACCAGCCCTTAATGAGTGGGAGAAAAGCTGTCCTGACCACTGTGTGGTCACTTTTAGTCACTTTGTAGGAGGGACTGGCTGTAGGTGGCACCGTGTCCTTTTGTCTGCCAGGGTTAGATGGACTGGGCCACAATGGATTTTCAATGCTCCAGATTCTAAGCAAGTAGATTCAAATCAAGTTAATTTTCCCAGTGATGTCTAAGGTTACTCTGGTCACTTTTGATTAACCAATTCATTATTTTCAACTTGGAGTAACAAAATAGACTCAGACGTGTGTTTAAATACCTTGTTTATTGAAATTCCAGAAGAAAATACAGCTTTCTGTGATAAGTCTATAACTTGCTGTTATGTTTTGCTTTCAGTTTTTAGGAGTGCTTTTAAAATTTGATTTCTTTATAATTATGTAATAGTTAAATGATGATTTACATGGTTCCAAAGTCAAACCTACAAAAGCAGGTATATTCAAAGAAGTTCGGTTTCTAGTTTTCTCTCTTTCCCCTACAGGGAGTCGTTTTTAAATGTCCTTATGGTTTAGTCTTCCATTATCCAGTGTGACTTTTTTGATATTTCAAGACTTACTGGACATGAATCGCAGAGCAGGGTGCCGTGTCCAGTCACGGGAGTGTAACTAGGCAGGGTGTTGGGGAACTCACAGTCTAGGGAAACAGTGGGACCTTAGATGCTGCAGAGATAGGTGCCAAAGGCAACGGGACACCAAGGAGGACTCACCCGTGTGTCGTCCGGGAAGCCACAGGGCCAGGACGAGGGTGAGGCAAGTGAGACTCTCACTGCAGGTATAAAACTTCAGGAGCCCCCCACCCCCACCCCAAAGCAATAATCAGGATAAATAATATTTTAATGCAATATTGTAAAAACCAAAATTGATGCCAAAAATTCTATAATGAACAAAAGATCCAAATGGTAAGTAAAGCCAATCTCACCCCAATCTCACCCTAATCCCAGCCTTAACCCCTCATGCAGAGGGCAGTCAGGGCTGGGACTCTGGAGAGAGGAATCGTGAAGGGCAGGAAGGGCATGCGCAGGGGGAGGAACAGAACATGCAGCAGCTCAGAGACATGCAAGCCGAGGGTGTCTGCGAGCCTTGGCAGCTTGTTACAACACTGCGGCATCTTGATTTGTGGCGAGGGACATGAGGAAAGATCAGGGACCGATTGCAAGGGCCTTGAACACCTGTGAACAGAGAGGAGCCGGCAAAGTCTTTAAAATGACATAGATGGTGGAGGTGCTGGAGGCGAGAGGAACCAACTGCATGTTGGCAGCCCTCAATCGTGGACTGGTTCCATTTGTTTAGAGGTTTGGTGCTTAAAGCAGTCAACTAGAGCATTCTCCCCACATGGAGCTCCTGCTTTCCTTTCTCCAGATGACGGTGGGGAAGAACCATGGGAGGGGTCAACCCTGGGAATTATTTAGGACGCTGCGGGACACACACCTTGAGCTGGGGAGAGTGTGTGTGTTGGTGTGGAAATCTGTCCTCCACGTTGTATTCTGGGGGAGGTCTCCAGCAAATCTGATCTTGTGACACATTTACCCCCTCCTCCAATCCTTCCTCTGCTTCCATTGCCCCTTAGGAGAGTGTGAACGGTCCTCTAGCTTGGTTTCCAGGCAGCCATGCCCCCACCCCCAGCCTCACTTTCAACATCCATCCTCTCCGCCCTCCAGCTACACTGAACTGCTTTTTATTTCTCGACTGGCCACGTTCTTGCTGACTCTGGTCCTTTGCCCATGCTCTTGCCTCCATCTAGAACCCCATTTCCAGCCCCATAGCTCACCCCTCCTTCTTGTCTCCCTTTGTCTGGTGAGGTCCCCAGTGAGAGCTTTATTAGGCTGAATTTTAATTGCCCCTCTATCCATCCCACCTGTTAACTCCCTGAGGGCAAAGACCATGTCTGTCCTCAGTGCCTACTCCCAGTGCTCAATTCATACTTGACACTCAATACATATTTGTTGAATGAATGAACACAAGACTAGGAAAAGTTGACTTGTTCACGGCCTTCTACCATTACACTGCTGTGTGACTTTGAGCAAGTCACCTCCCCTCTCTGTGCTTCAGTTTCCTTGCCTCTGAAATGAAGGGTTGAACTGAACCTCCTTCCCTAACGTCCCATCGGGACCTAAAGTGACGAAGGCTATAATGATTCCACTAATCTTCCACTTCTCTCCTTTCTTTTTGAAGATGACACCAAGTTGAATCCCTATGCAGGAGGAGATGGTGAGTACAGAGCTGCCTGCCCCTCTTCAGAGCTACTGCCTCTTGGACCCACCCCAGAGGAGGGTGCAGCAGTCACCCGGCCTCTTTGCTTTCATTCTGAGTGAGGCAGGGGCAACAGCAACAGCCTGCGCTTCCTAGACCTCCTGCTGGGTGGGAAGGCAGGGGCTTTGGGGCACAAGCCCCCTAGATTGAAGGGTGTCTAGACATTTCCCATGTCCGTCAGGAACCTCCTGTGGTTCTTCCCTGGTCTTGAATAACCACCGCCCTAAAGCGAAGGAGAGGAGGCAGTAGGGCTGCACAGAGCAGGCATGGTGGTGTGCGGCCTGGGGCTGTTGGCCTCTTCCCCTGTGGGCCTCACAACGAGTGGGGAGCAGCTGCCCTCACATCAACTTTGCTTTGATTCTCCACCTGGGTTGGCAGAGTCCACAAAAGTTGTTCACTACAGGTTTTTTTGTTTTTTTTTTATCCTCACCCGAGGATATTTTTCCATTTTTTGTACAGATAGAGTGGGAGGGAGAGAGAGGAAGGGAGAGAGAGAGAGAAACATCGACGTGAAGGGACACATCGAGTGGCTGCCACCCGCACGACCAACCAGGGCCGGGGACAAACTGCAACCGAAGTACGTGCCCTTAGCGGGAACCGAACCCGGGTCTCTCCGGACCGCAGGCAGACACTCTAACCGCTGAGCCAAACCGGCCAGGGCTCACTACAGTTTTTATAGGGTGCCAGAATGTGGGGTCCCCTGCCCCAGGATGACCTGGGGGGCCAGTCTCTCTGATGAGGTGAGGTGGCCCCACCTTTCCTGCCTGTTGCCCAGGGCCAGCTCAGGCCCTTGCTGCAAACCCTGCAAAGGGAGGTCAACTCCAGGGCCTGGGAGGTCTGCGGATCGAGCAGGAGAGAAGAGGCTAGAAACACAGCACAGTTTGATTGTGGCTCCCACCAGGGACGGAGCTATTCTTTTCTGTGGGCAGCAGGTGTGAGTGTGCGTGTGCGTGGGGGGCACGGGCGCAGGGTGAAGGGGCGAGGCTGGGCCGCATTCCCCTCTCTACACGTGTGTTAATTAGCCCGAGCCCTGACCATCAGGTCACTGCAGGCTGCTGGCTGGCTAATTGCCAGGTCAGGGAAGGCCAGCTTCGGGGTGTGTGACCTCAACTCTCCCACCTGATGGCAGATAGAGGCACAAACCATGCACCGGAGTGCCCCAGGGTAATTTCTCTCCTGGGTTTCCTCTGCTTGCAGAGAAGAGGGGCAGGGGAGGGCAATGATTTTGGATGCAAATATCATCCCTTTAAAAATCCCCACTCCTGTTGACTCCCATCCCACCCACTAGCAATGCAAATAAGATTAGATACTCCTGTTGTTTACGTGCTCATCTGTCTCTATTTCATTATCTCCACATCCCTTTAGGATAGAGGGAAGAAGCAAATAGCCAACCCAGGTGGCATCAGGAAGTTAGGCTTCTCAGTGGCTGGCACTGACTGTGTCCTTGGACGAATCGCTTCACCTCTCCGTATTTCCATTACCTCAGCCACACAGGAAGGGTGGGACTGCAAGAGCTTCCAGCTCAACAGTCTATGGAAATACTCAGCTTCCTCCATGGAATATATTTCAAATGCTTGGGATGTTCTCAGAGAGTGGCTGCTGGTTTATTAGCCTTCAGAGGACCTAGCTCATTTCTTTTATTGGGCTCCTACAATGGGTTGGCAATTTTTTCTAAGTGCTGAAAACATAGAGATGAATAAGACACCGTCTCTGCCCTGCAAGAGGTCACAGTCTGGTGTAATGGACAGTGACAGGTAAAAATATGGTCATTTTGCAATCACAGTACCTGGCACTTACTGAGGTCGTCCAAGATCCTAGCCACAGTCCTCAGTACTTGACAAGAAGTATCTTGTTTTAACCCTCACAATAACCCCAGCATGTACTTATTATTATCCTTGTTCTACGTAAGTGATAACTGAGGCACAGAGAGGTTAAGTAATTTGCCCAAAGTCACACAGCTAGTAAGTGGCAGAGTCTGGATTTGAATCCAGATAGCCAGATTCCAGCTCCCAAAATCTTCACCATCACGTACATTTGCTGAATTTCTGGAAGGGTATCAGAGAGAACTTCTCTTGTGATCCTTATTCAATCAACATTTGGGCAACTTTAAATGATTTTGAAAAACCACCTGAACCATGCCAAGCATGTTAATGCCATGCTCACGAGTCCACCCACTCCGGCCCCACCCTTTCGTGTGTTTCATAAGTAGACCAAAAGTTCCGTCAGCTTTCATCTCTGAGACTTTGTCAGAACCCAGGACTCCAGGCCCCACCTTCCCTGCTCCCCTGCAGCAGCCCTGCCCTAACTGTCTCTCCACAGGACTTCAAAACAACCTGTCCCCCAAGACAAAGGGCCCCCCGGTGCACCTGGGCACCATTGTGGGCATTGTGCTGGCGGTCCTTGTCGTGGCGGCCATCATCCTGGCGGGGATTTACATCAGCGGCCACCCCACCTCCAATGCTGCGCTCTTCTTCATCGAGGTCAGCTCCTCCCTCTGCTTCTGCATCAGTGTTTCCCTGGCCATGCAGTACCCGCCTCTCCTCATCTCATTCGTCACCCGCCACATGCCTGGCACCTGTTCCCACCTGAGGAATCTTCATTGACTCCATCTGGGCACAACTCACACTGGCTAGTGCCCTTTTAGTCCCCAACCCCCAGGGATGTGCACCTTAGAACTCCTCCAGCCTTCCTGTCCTGTCTGCTTTTGCTCTCCCATTTGTGAAATTAGGCCCCAGGGCAAAAGAATGAGGCAAAAAATGCCACGCATGGCCATTTAGTGGCTGTGCAGCCAATCTCTAATGATCTGTGGTCTCTCATGGCCAGATTCCAGGCCTGGTGTTTATTCAAAGCCATAATGGAACTGAGGTCTCTGCCTCTTTTCTGTGTGGGTTTATTATTATTATTATTATTTTTTTTTTTGAGAGTATGTTTATTAAACCTGGGATAGTGAAACACGGAAGGGCTTAGGGTAGAAGAAGGAACAGGAGAGAGCCTAGCTGGGGCTGCTTTGGCTCACTGAGGCAGAGAAAGGGGGCTTTGGAGACAGGTTCAGGGGGTCAGCCCAGGACAAGCTGCCGCTGCTGCTTGCTCCCCTGGTTGCAAGTCTCGTGGGGGCCCTTAGAGTTTAGGAGAGGCCCACCTGAGAGGGAAGTGAGGCGTGGGCATGCTCCCAGGAGGGAGAACACGCTGCTGTGTGGGCTTTTTAGATTAGACTCAACAAACCATAATGAGTTACTCTCTCTGGGAGCTTTCATTGAGAAGGCTACGGTTTCGCATGTCTCAGGATTTGGAAGAGCCAGTCCAGGTGCAGCACGGAAGTAAGGCCCGGCCCCCTTCACACTGGGCCGCAGAGCTCAGCAGCTCCTGTCCCAGCCCCACTCTCGGCTTCTCACCAGCTCTGCTCATGCACAGCGGTGCACCAACCCCCTGACCTCATTACCCAGAGGCCCAGGTGGCTCCCTCCTGTTTGTTTAGACACCCCCGGTTTCTTGTGAGCCCTAACCAGTCATTCATTTTCTTTTTAATCCTCACCTGAGGACATTTTTCCATTTTTTGTTCAGGTAGAGTGGGAGGGAGAGAGAGGAACAGAGAGAGAGAGAGAGAAACATCGATGTGAAAGGAACACATCGAGTGGCTGCCACCCGCACAACCGACCAGGGCCGGGGACAAACTGCAGCCGAGGTACGCTCCCTTAGCGGGAACCGAACCCGGGTCTCTCAGGACTGCAGGCCGACGCTCTAACCGCTGAGCCAAACCGGCCAGGGCCCTAACCAGTCATTCTTAAGCCTTAGCTTAAGAATGGTATCCCCAGCCACAGGGATGCTGGTAGGGCAGGTCTGAGGCACGCCCAAGAATCTGCATTTTCATAAGCTCCCCAGCTCACTCTGATGTAGGACCTATTATCTTGGCAGTTCCAGAGCCTTCCAGATCATTCCCTCTCTCACCTACTTCCTCCCTGGCCACTGTCTCGGCTCTACTCGTATGATGCTAAAGCTTTCACCTGTGTCCTGCAGCCCTCGTGGCCCAGCAGTGGAGGGACACAGCGGAGCCTTCTGAGAGAGGAGCCCTGAACTCCACCCAGCTCTCAGTAGGCCCAGTGCCCTTGTAGAGGGGCTCGGTGCTCAGTGCTATCCCTGGGGGGTGGTCCCCAGTGGGTGAGGTCATGCCCACTGACTCCGGTCTGTACCCCCGCAGAGGAGACCTCACCACTGGCCAGCCATGCGATTCCGCAACCACCCGAACCACTCCACCTACACGGAGGTTGAACCCTCGGGCCACGAGAAGGAGGGCTTTGTGGAGGCGGAGCAGTGCTGAGAGTGCCAAGCCGCCCCTTGGAAGGGTCGAAAGGAAGACCTGGGGACCCCAAACGTCGAGTCAAAACAAAGTGGAGAAGCGATTTTTCTTGGCCTCCTCTGAACATACCCTGGCTGGGAGGATGGGACAGTGGTTTGTGGTGCCAGAGCTACAGTTGGGCCATCACACAAGTACTGAAGCAGGGGCAGAAAAGCAACCGCACTGAGTTTTTAAGGAACAATCACCTAATTTCATCCTCTTCTGATGCAAGGGGTCTCCTCTTCTGGGGCTGTCAACGGTCTACTCTGTAGCTACCCCAGAGACCCCCTCCCACCTGGAGATGACCAGATGCCCTGTTCCTGGTCACCTAATGTCCCTGCATATGACACGAAAGAACTGAGCTCTTGACTGGGGCCGCCGCATTGCAGGGTCCATAGACTCAAGAGCTGGTCCTCATGGCTATGGATTCGGTGCCTTCAGCCCCTGCTTCTGTGGCTCTGGACATCTGGAGAAGGAGTTCCCTCCACCATTAAACACAGACACAGCTGCTCTAAGCCCTTTGTCAAGCTGCCGGGTGGAGGGAAGCCAAAGGAGAGGAGAGGAAAGAACTTATGGGGAAAATGGCATCTTCAGGCTTTGCTTCCTCAATTTGCCCTTCCTGCTGACCACCAGTACTTCCGCCCCGGACTTCTGCGCCTGCAGCCCGCTGCCCCAGCCGTGGCCCAGCCCCGGCCTGGCGAGCCATGGGGGCTCTTTATTCCAATGGCACGTTTTGGCCATGTACTCACTGGCCTTTCCCTTCGTCGGGGCCAGCAAGGACCTCCAAAGGCAGCGTTTTCCTCATTCCGAGGGTTCTTCCTCCCAGCTGGATTCTGATAGCCATTAAAGAGAAACAGGGGGGTTTATGGAGACGTGTCCAGCAGGGAACGTCAGTCGGGAGTCTGTTGAGGAGCAAAGCCACCGGAACAGTTGGGCAGGACGCTCACACGGAAAGGAGGGACTTTCTACGTAAAATCTTGGCCTGGAAAGTTGTTCCCACGTCCTCGGCTCTGCTGGAAGTTTCGATGGCAGAGGGTTTAGGCTCCCAAACTTAAACTGGTTTTAAGGAATTCTGTCCCAGAGATGAGTCAGGGCATTTAAATGGAAATCTATCGCCCTGGCTGGTGTGGCTGTTGTTTGAGTGTCATCCCATACGCTGAAAGGTCGTCAGTTTGATTCCTGGTCAGGGCACAGGTTGTGGGTTCAATCCCCGGTTGGGGTGTGTGCAGGAGGCTCATGTTTTTATCTCACATTAATGTTTCTCTCTCTCTGCCTCTCCCTTTCTCTCTCTAAAAAAGCAATTTTAAAATATGTTTAAAAAAACAAGTAAAATAAAAACCTATAGCTCCCCCTCGTCCAAAGTAAAAAATATCAGCAGTAAATAAATGGTAAATCTCAGTCTCCACTTAGTCATGCCCTTTTATGCATGTTATTGGGGATGCCGCAAACGGAAGACGTTAAAGTACCTGGCCCGCTGATGTGGGGGGCCAGGAGTCCCCAAATAACCAGACACATCTATACACTGGACGGGTGGTCTTCCAGACGCTCCATGGCTTATCCTCGGCCAGGACGCTGATGACAGAGCAGGAAACAAGCCAGGCCTCGGATATATATAAACCAGACAAGGGAGAGCTATGAGGAGGGTCAGAATTTGGGAAAGAAAAAAGACAGTACCTCAGAGAAAAGAGGGTTCTTTCCGAGCGTCTGAGGGACAGAAAGGTCTGGAACGGCTCTCAGTGAGAAGCACAGCCAGGCACTGAGACCATCGGGGCCCCCAGCAGTCCTGGCCAGCAGGAGGCTGAGTTTTGCTCTTGCCTGACAGCAGAGCACCTGACACGAAGAACTTTGCGTCTAAATGGCCAGGGGGACTGTTTCTGTTGTGGCCAAATGCACAGCACCATTTGTCCCACTCCCAAACCCAGTAGCCTTCTTCCCAACGGGAGCTCTGCCAGCCATAGGCATTCCCGAACGGAAAGAGCAGAGATTGGAGGGAGGGGCCATGATGCACTGAGGCCTCTGTCATAACCACCACAGGTGGAGAGAAAGTGCTAGGTGCCTTGGCTGGTGAGAGAAACCTGGCAAACCCCTGGCATGACAGAGGGGAGGTCAGTGAAGCTGTCTGGCAGCGGGGAGCCTGGTTTGTTTACAGCAAAAAGAACCAAAGATGTGTCATTAAGCGAGGCCACTAGACATTAAGAGCCTCTGGATGCCTCCAGCCAAAACATGTAGCCAGGTGCTTCCAAGAAACAGAGCTAGGCACTCAGAGAGTTAAGGTCCCGGCTATCCTTAGGATCGCTCTCACGATGTGGTTCTTAGACCCAGGGCTTTTACTCTGAGCTTTAGAGCAGGTTAGCTGGGTACCTGTGGAGAGTGACCAGAGGAGACATCGGGGACTTGTGGTCAGCCCTCGGAGTTTGGCTGACAGTCTAAAACAATCAACCACAGAGAATTTGTAGGCTTCTGGGTCCCTCACCCCATAGGTATATACACTCTCCAAAGAAAGCAGGTGGTTAGCAGGTCATTCTCCACAAGGTATCTCTGGGCATCTTCACAGTGACCCCTGGGAAGTAGGAGGGTAGGCTCCATGAAAGTTCATCACTGCGACAGGAGGTTTTAATCCTGTGAGGTAGGGCTCCGGGCAGCTGTCTGTGTTGTACCCAGAAATCAGAAGTTCTCAGAGAGGGCCTGTTTTACACAACTCTTAAGAGGGCCAACAAGAACATGGGGATAAGAGGCCAAGTATAAAAGAGGACCCTGGATCAGGCTGTGAGCACAACCTCATTCTCTTTAATCAGCCGCTCTTAGTTTTGTAGCCTTGTCCAGTAAGGTCCCAGGAATTTCTGCTTCCAGAACAAAAGTGCATATGAGCCCAGCCAATGTGGCTCAGTGGTTGAGCATGGACCCATGCACCAAGAGGTCGCCAGTTCAATTCCTGGTAAGGGCACATGCCCAGATTGTGGGCCAAATCCCCAGTGGGGGACATGCGGGAGGCCGCCAATCGATGTTCTCTCTCATCAATGTCTCTCTCTCCCTTTCCCTTCCTCTCTCTCTAAAATCAATAAAGAATAATTACTTAAAAGAAAAAAAGAATGCATATGACCTCAGCCATCGACCTCAGCACCCAGGATTACCCCAGGTAGCAGACAGGACTTCCAAGTTTGACTGTCCACCTTCCTCCCGCCATAATCAGGTGTCACCCACTCAGCCCAGCAGATCCCTGACTCTGGAAGCCACTTCTTCAGGTCTCAGTCTGAAGTCAAAATGCCCTGATGTCACTATTAGAAGTTATCGATGGGCCCGTGGAAACTATTTTTTTTAATGTTTACGTTTTACCAGAGCTGTGTAATGTATTCCAGTGTGTGTCTATTTTTAGGCACAAAACATTTCATTTTATGGTTAAAAACATTGGATAAAGCTGTAGTGTGCTCAGCCTGTAGCTTGGTTTGTTAAATTATGACAGTGGCAAACGCTGCCAGCCAACCACACTATTTGAAAAGCGGAGTGTTCACCTCTGGAGCTAATCACTCATCTGGTTGTGAGCAGGGCTAAGACACTTCTCTGAGTCCTGGAACAGATAACAGATTTGCTCAGAACACTGACTGGGGCCAAACCCAGACTCCCTGGCCTTGAGAAGCCACACCAGGTAGCCTCAGATAAAATGCAGTCCGTCTCTCGCTCTCGCTCTCACTCTCTCTCTCTCTCTCTCCCTCTCCCTCTCCCTCTCCCTCCCTCTCCATCCCCCTTCTCCTTCTCCACCCTCCCAACAAAAACCTACCTGAATTTATAGCACAATTAGGAGGATCTGGAGATAGAGGGCATCCTAGCTCTCTTAAATGCAATGTATTCACGGTATTTAGTGTGAATTCTATGCATGGATTCTCAAGTGTTAATAATAAAAGGCAACATTCTTTTAAGTCTTCTGCTGTGTGCAAGATAAACTACAAAGGATTGTGAATGACATTCTGCAAGTCCCCACACATACCTTAGTCCTGATGACTAAGGACCTTCACTAAGGGGGTAGGAAGAGCCTCCAGCAATCTGCCCAACAAGGGTGCTTTCTCCAACCTCTCAGTCCCACTTCCAGGAGCGAGAACCTGGAAAGAGACACCCCAGATTTTATTTATCTGGGGTTTCAGCTATTTATTTATCAGGGGTTTGTAAATCCCTGGAAGTAAACCTCATGGTTTTCAATCGACTGTGTAGAGTTATAAAATAAATCTATATAAGTTGGTGCTCCCACATTTCTGGAAACTTTGCATTCAAACCACTTTAGCAGCTCATTGTGTTTTCATTACTTTGCATTTGTTGTTGTTGTTGTTGTTGTTTTTTGCTCGCAAACATGGTTAAGCAAATCAAAACAAAGACGAAAAATGTGAACTCCTCACAACCAAAATCAACTATTCCAAATTTCAGTTTCCAAACAAGCCAATTTATAAATAAACAGACTGTGTTTGCCAAACACAGAGGAATGTGTTGGAGAAGGCAATGTGAACTGGTGGAGAAAGTGCCCAGCTCTGCAGGGAGTCAGAGGCAGGAGCTGTAGCCCCCAGCCCTCTCCCTGAGGAGCTGTGTGATGTGAGCCAAGTCACCCGACATCTCTGGGCCTCTGTGAAATAGAGGGGTGGGAAAACAAATTGATCTAAGGTGGGAATATATTCCTCTCCTTAGCAAACAGCCTCACCTGTCTGTTTTTTGTTTTTGTTTTGTTTTGTTTTCAGTTCACACAGCAGCTCAGACCAAAGCATCCCTTTCTTTTCCATTATCCTCATAGGGTGTAACTTGTTCTAGTTTGCTCGGGACATTCCTAGTTCTAACACGGAGAGTCCTGTGTCCCAGGAAACCCCTCAATTGTGGAAAATGGGACAGTTAGTCCTTGGAGCCTATCCCAACCCCATAGAGTCTTGGATACAACTATGCAAAGTGCAGTCCACACAGGTATCCCACGGAGGGTAGTTGGAAATGCAGAACTTGGGCCCACCCACCCAAGACCTCTGGAGTAAGATCCTGTATTTGGCCCTGGCTGTTGGGGCTCAGTGGTTAGAGCGTCGGCCTGCACACCTAAGGGTCATGAGTTCCATTCCCCAGTCAGGGCACGTGTGGGAGGCAACCAAATGATGCATCTCTCTCTCTCTCCCCCCCCCACCCCCCTCCCTTCCTAAAAATCACTGGAACCCAGCTGGTGTGGCTCAGTGGACTGAGCATCGTCCCATGGACTGAGGGGTCCAGGTTCAATTCCCAGTCAGGGCACATGCCCAGGTTTTGGGCTCAATCCCCAGTAGGGAGCATGCGGGAGGCAGCTGATTAATGTTTCTCTCACATTGATGTTTCTCTCTCTCTCTCCCTTCCTATCTCTAAAAAGGTCAACAAAACATGTTTAAAAAAATAAAATAGTCCTGGCTGGTTTGGCTCAGCGGTTAGAGTGTTGGCCTGGGGTCCAGAGAGACCCGGGTTTGGTTCCCGCTAAGGGCACGTACCTCAGTTGCAGTTTGTCCCCAACCCTGGTTGGGTTGTGCGGGAGACAATGTGTCCCTTTCACATCGATGTTTGTCTCTCTCTCCTTCCCACTCTATCTGAACAAAAAATGGAAAAATGTCCTCGGATGAGGATAAAAAATAAATAAATAAAAATAAAATAAAATAAAAGTCATTGGAAAAAATAGCCTCTGGCCCTGGCCGGTTTGGCTCAGCGGTTAGAGCGTCGGCCTGCGGTCCTGAGAGACCCGGGTTCGGTTCCTGCTAAGGGCATGTACCTCAGTTGCAGTTTGTCCCCGGCCCTGGTCGGTTGTGCGGGTGGCAGCCACTCGATGTGTTCCTTTCACATCAATGTTTCTCTCTCTCTCTCTCTGTTCCTCTCTCTCCCTCCCACTCTACCTGAACAAAAAAATGGAAAAATGTCCTTGGGTGAGGATTAAAAAAAACAAAACAAAACAAAAATATCCTCTGGTGAGGATTAACAACAACAAAAAAGAGGACAAGTTTTTGTTTGTTTGTTTTTTTAATTAAAAAATATTTTTCTTGCCCTGGCTGGTTGGCTCAGGGGTTAAAATGTTGGTCTGTGGACCAGAGAGTCCCAGGTTTGGTTCTCTCTAAGTGCAGGTATGTGTTGCAGTTTGTCCCCAGCCCCGGTTGGGGTTGTGTGGGTGGCAAC